AGGACATTGAATTATACCAACTGGGTCCTTCACTGAGTGTTTCTTAAAATGTAGACCACCTGTGTTGGATTTCCCTGAGAATGTTGTAAAAAGGGTCCACCTGAGACATACTGAATCAGGGGGTGGAGCCTGGGAGTTTGTATTATTGACAGAGCCCTTGGTAATTCCTATTGACTGATTGCAAAACAGGAGCCCAGGGCCAGCCCATTAGTGAATTCATTAGGAAGCCTGCGACAGCCATCTGGGAGGCCACCATTTTGGTGGGAGAAAAGCCAGCAATAGTGCCAGGGGACTGAGGTGGAGTCACAGGGAGGTAGCAAGCAGGGCTGGCTTGTCAGAAGCTCCAGCAGGAGCTGAGCAGCTGCCTTTTAGAAAAAGAAATCATCATACCAGACTGGCTGAAAGGCAGAGGTTCCTGGCAAGCAGGTCTGATGTTTAACCAAAAAGTTCACTTGATACTCATCCAATAGTTTAGTGTTAACTAGTGCCCAGTTAACCGTGCATTTTCTGCCATGACCGCTGCAATATATGGGTCCCATATAGTACTCAATCCTCCATGTTCCAGGACGTCTTGTCTGCCCCACTACTGTGGCCTTTAATCCTCTGCATTTTACGTACTTGGTCATGACTTTGTTTCCCACCTCAAACTGGGAGTTCTTAACCAGGAATGACTGGTTCACCTTTTAGGATGGGCACACAGTAGGCACTTCCTGAACTGCTGAATGAGGATCTTGTGAACTTTCTGGTTACTTAGACATCAGATCTGTTTGCCAGAAATCTCTGTCTCTTAACCAGCCTGGGCTTTTTGCTAGAGTCCAGAGGTGGTAGTGTTGGGAGAAGTACTGTGTTCAGGGAAGGCACATTTATACCCATAGTGCCTCTTTCAGAAGAACAAAGTGCTAGTCCTTCCATGATGGCAGTGGTTCCGTGCATCCAACCTGCCATGAGGTATTTGCTGATCACCTCACAGAACAGTGCCATACTGGGACTCAGGTTCTGGCAGACTGGGCACTCAGCAGAGGCCAGGCCAGCCTGGGTGAGTGGAGAACCACGTTGCCAAGCCTGTGTGTGACCTCTGTCCCTGCCCCTCTGACCCACTGGGCAATGGCAGACGTGGCTGAGGAAAGAGCCTCACTAGTGTCCACAGCATGGGTCATGCCATCCACTCAATTATTAAAATTCTCTTCTGCTCAAGTCATCTTTTTGTGACCATTAACATGGGGTACAAATATCTTCATGTTCTATGCCCATTTAGAGAAATCTATAATATATCTCTTCCCTGGACCTTGTTGTCACCAATTTTCCAGTGATGTTTCTGACCATCCAACCAACCCATTTTCCCACAGCTCATGAATTGGTTTAGACCAAAGGTGTCAAACACATTTTCACTGGGGGCCACATCAGCCTTGCGGTTGCCTTCAAAGGGATAAATGTAATTTTGGAATTGTATAAATGTAAGTACTCCTTAACTAGGGACAAGGAGCTCAGTGCTGCTGCTGGGTAGAAACAAGGTGCTGGGCTGGATAAAACATGGTGGAGGGCCTGATTTGGTCCTCGGGCCTTGTGTTTCCCACCTGTGGTTTAGACTTTTACCTGTGGCCACTCCTTCTTCCAGACAAAATGCACAATCAGGTGCACTGTTGAAATTTCTGCTCACTGAGAACATTTCCCTTCACCTGACCTTCAAGAATGTTCTAAAAGGAGCTGTGGTGCCAGTTCCTTCTCTTTGGTAAGTTGAAGATGGTCCCCCACTCTCGACCAGCTCTCAGTATTTGTGCTCATGGGATAGGTGTCCTGAGATTCAATTCTGCCTCCCCCTCTCTGTGATGGCCATTTAAGTACTTGAACGCCCTTGTTGAGCCCTCCCTCTAGGCATTCTCCCACCTTCACATCCAGTGGCAGTCATGCAATGTGATTTCTAGACTACCCTTCTAAATCCGTGCATGACCCTGACATGTTTCCCGCAGCTCTGACAGAGCCTCAAGGCTCAGAGACCACACTTTGAGATTATGTAGACTTTATTTCCAAGAGCAAACAAGGTTCTCAGACAGTAAGTGTCTAGAGTTAGCTCTTGGATGGCTGTCTTCATTTAACAAATGTTTCATGAGTACTTACAGTGTGCAGGGCTTGCAGAGTGCAATGATGGATCATGTCCAATGTCCATAGACAACTGAGGATTAGTTCAGGAGGAGCATCTGCAAGAAGCCCTCTTTTTGACATCGACAGCAGTGATGCAAATGAAGGTAAAGCACCTGGCACATAGTTGGGGCCTCCCTTCCCACACCCCATACTCCTTTGATACTAGTGGGAGGTGGGAACCATATTAGTCTCACACTGGCCAGGGTCCTAGAATTAGTGGTGCTTGTTCCCGACCACATGAATACCAGGTGGTGATGGGTACATTGTTTTCCCTGAGTCACTCAGGCACACTGTCACAGACAGCATTCTTGTCTCAATGCCTAAGCAAAATCAGAAAGGTCTAGCAATTGGTTTGTTCATCTTCCATCTATTTTAAAAGAGATTTATTAACACATTACTACATCATCTAACTAGTGTGCAGCAAGGGATTGTCACTCCTTTTGATGTACACTCCCAGGTTCCTGAGCTACAACTTGTGATTGTCTGCATTTTTGCAGCCTCAAGATTTCTGGTCCCTTTCATATTCAGCTCTATTTAACATTCTGTTCCTTCTACGTGCCATTTAAATGATTTCCTATGATTGTTTCTTTCAAACGCCCAGGAGGGTTTTAGGAAAGTTTATATTGCTACTTAAAAAGTACTCAGGATGTGGTTGTGATATGTTGTTTTAGTTAAGCCACAGGTAGTTGCTCCATGTATCGATTATCTATCTATCTATGTACCTATCTATCACATCTCAGCTCAAATACACACACATGTACATATATATATAAACATATGAGGTCTGGTCAGAAAAAGTCTAGCCATTGTTAATATAATGAGAATGATTTGCTTGACATTGATATAACTTGGCAGCCAAGGAGAGTGGACTGGAATGTGCATGTGTGAACAATGATGACTTCACTGTACTAGTCAGTGGGGATGGTAGACACCATTGAGTGAGCATGTGTACTATGTGGCCAGCACATTCAAAGTGACTCAGTTAGCAAAGCAATGAATTTGCATCAAATTTTGTGTTAAGCTTGAACATTCATCCATGGAAACTATTGGAATGAATGAGAAGGCCAGAGCTGTGGACAAGGGGTGATTGGCAGCTTCATCACAACAATGTGCCCATTCATGCACCACGTTCCATGCACAGTGAAACATCAAATCACCCATGTGACTCAGCTCCTCTACAGCCCAGATTTGGTGTTCTGTGACTTCTGGCTTTTCCCAAAAACTAAAATCACCATTGAAAGGGAAGAGATTTTAGACTGTCAGTGAAATTCAGGAAAATATAATGATGCAGCTGATGGCAATTGGGAGAACTGTGTGAGGTCCCAAGGCACCTACTGGTGGAAGGGGACTGCAGCATCATTGTCCTATGTACAATGTTTCTAATATCTTGTATCTTCTTCAATAAATGCTTCTATTCTTCATAGTACACAGCTGGATACTTTCCGGACAGACCTCTGTGTGTGTCTCTCTCTCTCTCTCTCTCTCTCTCTCTCTCTCTCTCACACACACACACACACACACACACACACACTTTATGTTTAGAGTAAAATATACACACAGCCAGCTGTAAACATCCTGTTTCCATGGAGACAGTTCTACAAAGTCTTAAAATCATTACTTAATGTATAAAGGTATCAAAAGACTAATTCATTCTTTAGGATTTTGCTGTTTGTCATGTATATACAGCAATGAAAAATATGTAACTCTCAATTTTAAGAAATTCAGTGCTCTTACCAACCATAAAAACCTATTTGTGGGCATTGAGTCATCTAAGGGGATTTCAGAAGCATTTGTCAAATATTGCTGCTGCCTACAGACTGTCCAGAGCATTCTGTGTGGGGTGGGCAGTGAATGATGAGGGCGAAGGCAGCAGAGAGAGCCTCGAAGCACTTTGTGGCACACCCTGGAGCCATGACTATGTGGTGTCGCCTTGACAGATCAGTCACAGAGCATCCCTGATGATGTAGTCACCAGTGTTCATGGAGGACCGTCGGGCACATCCCCATGGGCCTTGCTGGGCTGGGCAGACCAGGGGCCAGGCTACTTGCTTTGCCCTGCAGAGAAAGGCTTCCTTGGCCAGGGAGCTCTAGGCCCAGAGGTGAGGGGCCATTGCCAAGGATGCAGCACAGTCGCAGCCAGCCCACAAGCTTCCTACTTCCACCACCAGGTGACCCAGGTCCAGGTGTTCATTGTTTAGACTCCTCATCCGGAGGAGAAGGGTGGTCTTCTGAGGGGTTGAAGGAGTGCTGAGACCCAGTGCAAAAGGCTTGGAAAGAGAGCTTGAAAAAAATCACAGGTGTTTCACGGGGGGCTAGGTTGGTGTGGTCACAGCAGGGGCCTGCGTAGCCTGGGGCGGGGGCTGGCTGAACCCACAATGTACTGTGTGACCTTGTTTCTTCCTCAGGAAGATGAGGCTGATGCTCAAGACTTGAGAGGTCCCACCCAGATCTTCTCTCTCCCTTGGGGAGGTAACCTCCTTGTGGTTCTTACATTTTCCTGTGCCCCCACGCCACCTCACAACACTTAGAAGTCTACCTCTGACCGGTAAGCAACACAGCACTGTCATCAAGAGCTCTAACTTGACAGTCAGAGAAATGGGCATCATAAAAGTGCCCACCTTGTAGGGTCGTGAGGACACAGGTACTAGGGGCACCCAGCAAGAGGCTGACAAGTAGAAAGTCTGGTGAGTAGGAGTTCCAAGAACCCCTGGAGCTGGGTCCAGAGCAGCTGCTCTGATGGGCAAGGCACTTCCCTTCTGATGTTTCCCTCTGTTGTATTCAAATCCAGTAACAATGGGCTGTCGTTCTGGGAGGAGCCAAGGGTAGTCCCTCAGATCCCGGCAGCCTGAGCCCACTGGAAGGGCAGAAACCTCTTTGGCTGGACGTCTGGACCATGGACAGGGATCAGAATGATGAGGACAGTAAGTACAGCCGGGGGGGGTATGGGTGGGTGTGGGGTGCCCTCCTCTGTGGCAGGCACTGAGCCTAAACCTTGCTCTGCCCTTAGTGCTATTTCAGGGTCTGTGTCTACCCTGCCAAGGGCATCCCTTCCTTCCTTCCTTGTTTTCCTATGTGTCAAAGCCCATTTACAGCCTGCAGGCCGTTCTTCTACAAGGGTCGTGGGGCAATGGAAAGGATGGTAAAAACTCAAATTGAGAACTTTTCTCCCCAGCCATGTTAATACTGTCCAAGTCTCATAATTTATCCCTCCTTTCTCTCATTGGTAGTCCCCACTTCCTCCAGAGCCAAATGTAAGTGTGACCATCAGGGTTCTTATTTCAATCCCAATTGGGTTCAGTTCTTAGATGAGGTTAATTTTAAAGAAATGTCATGAAAGATCTTTGCTCATGGTCTCCCTGTAGCTAAGAGCCCACATGTTCATTACTGCTCCTGAAACAGCTTGGGTGACCCCATTCTGTCATCACTGGGACAGAAATACAATGAAATCTAAGGACTATTTAAAGAGACGAAGAAAGAAATGGTATTTTTAGGGAAGAAGTGTGCTATGTTTAAAAAATGGAAAGTTTTGATTCTGAATTTGGAATGACGAATGTGGTCCAGTATCACCCTGGGAACTGGGAGGCTACGGTTCAAATCCTGACTCTGCTGTGAACTGGCTGTGTAATCGTGAGCAAATTATTTAACCTCTCTGAGCCCCAGTCTTCTCATCTATAAAGGGAGATAGGGTGAGGAGCTCTTAATTTGAAGACCATGAAGGTGTGGGCAAAATGCTGTGTGAATGTGTGGTTTTTTAAAAGTTTTTAAACATTTTTTTTTGGAGATGGGGGTGCACAGATTTCATTTGAAGCCCAGAGAGGCCTCTGACACTAGCACATTTTCATAGTTTCTGACCTTGCTGACCTTGAATGTCCTTCAAAGGTCCAACACTCTCTATTGTCTTTAATGATGTTATCTTACAGCTTTAAGCTTCAGCACCAGAGTGGGATATAAAATGAACTTATACTAATCTTAGAGCTCAGTTTAAATTTTTTTGGAATCCTTTTTCATATTGAAGTGGAAGCTGTATGAAGATATTTTAATATGTGTTTGTGGAGGACCTAATCTGATATATTGGAAATTATATATTCATAGTCTTATTTCAATAAGCTTCTACTAACATTCAAATGCAATCTTTCCTCTTCAAAACACTACTCATTAGCAGTCTTTCAATTTATACTTAGAGTTTCTCTTAGTAGAAATGGGCTAAGGTCTGATCTCAATTCAAATCCAAGCTGTGACTCCAAATTGATAGGTGACTTTGTTTAAGACACTTACCCATTCTGAGCTTTATTTTCTCCAAGTAAAGTAGAAATGGTGTCATCTTGCAGGTTTAGTAAAGGATTAATTGGATGTATTGGGTCAGCCAAAAAGTCTGTTATACTTTCTTCATAAAATGAAAGACGTATTTTTCATTTTCACGAATAACTTCATTGATTTGGATATTTTGAGTATGTTGGCTATCTTCTGCTACTGGCTTCTAGTGGTAGAGGCCAGGGGTGCTGCTAAATAAACATCTTCTAGTGCATAGGACAGCCCCACAGCAAAGAATTATTTGGTCAAAATGTTAATAGTAACATTTTGATGTTAGTAACATTAACTAATAGTAACATTATTAGTAACATTAACATGTTACTATTAGTACTTTCCAAGAAAGTACTATAGTTACTTTCCAAGAAACTTGGCAAACTACTGCCTAAGTCTTTTTTGTGTGTTTCAGTTGCATATTTTTCTTGAAATAATAAAGTACAAAGTGTCAAAAATGTTGCATATTTTCTTCCATCTTCAATGCTAAAATGGCTGCACAAAAATTTTGATTTTTTTTAATGCACACTGATATCACATCTGTCACAATACAATCTAACAAAGTTGTTTTGAATGAAGTTAAAGACAACCAAACACTAGCAGAGCCATTGTATGGGAAAAGCATAATGAACTTTTTGACCAACTCAATAAAATGCCTAAAACATTACTCAGTCCAGAATAGGCATAAAATAAATATTGACTCTGGAAAATTATCAGATTTTGTCCCCCAAAGCTTTAAAATGAACTGTTATTAATGGATGGTATTATCACCAGTGATGTTCTAAAAGGATGTTGGCATCATTCTTTTAGTAAGCGAGGTGAGACTAAGGTGAACGCTTCAGCTCCCTTGCAATTCTAAAATTTATGACAGACCTTGATTCTGTCATCGGGTCACCTACGTGCTGATTTTGAATACAATCAAATCCCAGGTCAGCACTTAGGATCTACTGAAAGGGATGGAATTACCCAGAAAAGTTTTTAGAAACTAAGTCGCTGAACTCTGGAACACTGTAAATTTTTCCTCCAGGCTTCAGACTTACTAATTGCTATAGGACTTCCATGATTTACATGTTCCATCTCAGGTGAGTGATGGCTGCCCACTTTGTCCAGCTGAGTTTCCCCTCCCATTCGCTAAGTGCTGTCCCTTGGTTGTTGAATCTGTAACGTGGGCAGCTTCAGTGGGAGATTATCTTCCTTCGACACACACTTTGGGACCAAAGGTGACATGGATGGGGACACTGTGGGATGTGGCTCCCCCGTGGAAGTCACGTGGAAGGCCATTTAGCACTGCCACCATCATGCTGGGTTGCCTCTGACGGTGTCGCCAGCTGGAGGCAGCATCTGCCACCACAGACCGGAACACCCTCAGTGGTGGGCTGGTCCCCTCTACAGCGGCCACGGCCACACGTTGTCTTACTTTGAGTTTTATCTCTTTTCTTACAGCTTCTACTCTTTTGGTATTTATTCTACCTCCCCCTGCCCCCAACCCCACCCCACAGGCCACTCAGAACCTGTCTGTCCTCTGTTTAAAACAAGAACTGTTCAGGGTATTTTTTTCTCTAGCTTGACCAGGTCCTGCTTCTTCAGTGGTCCCAGATATAATGTGTTTTTAATCACCATTCTCTTGGAGGGAGACTCAGACTCTCCCAGAAATGGTAAGTGAGAGTCTCTTCAGGTAAGATGGGCTGTAACTACAGCCCCTGGGAATTTCAGGAGGAGGCCGCTCTGGTCCAGGATCATATGACCTCGGTGACACCTCTTTACTCCTGGGCACTGGTCCCTAGGGAGTGGGGGGCAGTGATCCAAGTCATAAAATTGTCACCATCAGTAAATCAGCGCTGAAGAGATGGGACTCTCTTCCTGGCATCTGGACCAGCCCAGCTCCCCAAAGTCTTCTTATTCATTAGAGTACCCCTCACGCCTGCTGAGCTGGGAATCCCAGACTGGATCTAAAGTCATCACGGTCACTTGAAGCTTTCACTGGACTTGTGGGCAGGGGCCCAGCTGCCAAGAGCCCTGACCTTGGGGCCTCAGCGTTTTTCACACACGCCTTAGGATGCAGGTACAAGCACCAGAAATGCAGGTCTTCCCTGCCTGTTTGGCCCTGGCCTCACGGGATCGATCCCGTCTTCCCTGCAGGCTGCCACATTCCTGGGAGGGGATTGTGGATCTGGAACCTCCCAACAGAAAGATACTGTCCCCTTTGGGGAGTAAGAAATAAAAGCTTTAATTATGTCATATCATAGCTTAGAGATCTCAAGAACTCTTCTAAATTTGTTTACAGAGCCCTCTCTTATTCACAGCACTATTTGCTCCTCTCAGTGACTGTACTCCTTGAACCCTGTTTTAGGGAAAGGATATCAAGTCCCCCTCCCCAAATTTAGTGAGTTTTCCTCTAGGACTACACAGCAGGCTAGCTGTTTTGTGCTGTTCTCATGGCTGGGAGAACAAAGATGAATAAAACATCCACCTACCTTCAAGGTGTTCAAAGTCTAGTAGGGGAGGCAGACCAAACATGTATTTTACAAATGCTAATTCTTATAAAGCTATTTGGCAAAAGCAGTGGTAGAAAGTATAGTTCCCTCTCAAAAGCAATGGAGTTCTGAGATCACAGAGAAGGAGAACCACTCCCAGGCTGGCTTTGCAGGAGGAGAAACCTGGGCTGAGTCAGGGTGAACTAGGTGATGGGGTGTTGTGGCCAGGAAGGAACAGCCAGAGCAAGGGCTGGGAGAAATGGCACAGTATATGTATGAGCATAAATGCAAACTTCAGTGTCGTGAAGTGACAAGTCACCTCTAGAAAGGAGAGGCAGCTCTCAGAAGACCCAGCCCCCATGTGGGCCTCTCTGGGCATTACAGCACTTTCCATATAGCGTGAGTTCTACATTCTCTCTTACTGAAGATGTGTTGTAACGTTTGCTGCATTCTGGCCCACCAGAGGGGTCTATATAACTCCAGGGAAAACTTCTTCCAGGTCTCCTTTCCCCCATTTCTCTTCATGTTGGTCTCACTCACATTATATTTGCTTCCTCAAATGTTTTCTCAATGGTCCTCACCCTAAAGCTCCCACACTACTGTCTCAAACCTCAAGCAGGCTTCTCTCTCTCTCTCTCCCTCCCTTTTCTTACTCTGTGCCTTCATCCTCTCCACTTAGCTGTCTCCCTTCCTCTCACCCTACTCTGGATGACATAGGAAGAGCTTTTCCCCATTGTGTAAATAGATGAGAACATTTTCTTCCTGTCCCACAGGTAATATGGGGCCTTATCTGACAAGTTCAGGAGCTTGGACAGTAGTTGTGGGTAGTAGTGAGCCACTGCAGTAGTTAAAAGAGGGGATGGCCTGGTCAGGCTTTCTGGTCTTGTCAGGAAGCCCTTTAATCAGTGTAGCCAATCATTTGTTTATTTGTTCTTCTTGGCAAAACAGGATTTCTTTCTTTTCTTTATCTTCTGATCACCTGAAAACCTCCTTATCTTTCTCTTTTCTATTATTTTAAATTGTGGAAAAATACATAGAACATAACATTGGCCATCTTAGCCATTTTTAAGTGTGCAGTTCAGTGACATTAAGCACATTCACTTGTTAGGCAGCCATCGTCACCATCCATCTCCAGAACATTCTCATTTTTCCTCAGCCGAAACTGTCCCCATTAAATTAAAACTCCCTTTTCTCCCCACTTCCACCTTGGAAAACACCATGCTACTTTCTGTCTCTGTGCATTTGGCCACTTGAATATCTCTTGCATCTTCTTAAGTATAATTTAAATCAAATCATTTATGTGCACCAACTGTATGCAAGAAGCAGGGGTTCCCCATCTAGAAGGGGTTCTCATACTTATTGAAGGAAATAGAATATGAAGCAAACTAAAGGAAGATAGCAGTGGGGAGCCATCTGAAGTGAGAAGTGGCTAATTTCAGTGCTTGTAAGATGACTAACCTGGAATTGGGGGCAGAAGATGTGGGCTCTGTTTATCCTCTGAAATAAAGAGATTGGCATTTAAAGGAGAAAGTTAAGAGGCTATCCGTTAATTATGCCTTTCTTCGCAAGGAAAATTCCTTTCTTACAAATGAAAAGTGGCTGGTGGCTGGTGAGCAGAAACAATGCGTTGGTAACTATGCAGAGCTTTCTCAGCAACCACTTGACGCCTTCTCATGGAGCAGTAGGAGGTTCAGCCAAGAGGAAAGGTCATTGGGCTTAGAGTCAGGACCTGGGTTCTAAGTACTATTTCTGTCTCTGCTACGACTGTCTGAGTTTGTTGCCCCAAATTACATCTCTAAGCCTCATCTTGTTGTGTTATAAAATGGGGAAAACAGTGGTTGTTGTAAAGTGCAGAAGAGATCACGCCTGCACCATCCTTTTGTGAGCTACGGGACAAGGTGCGTGTGTTGGGGTGGGGCGACCCAGCTGGACAGCTGCCCTGGCACAATGCCATGGAAACAGTGAAGTGCCTGGTGGCCCCCTTTGGAGTGCCCTACGCTGGGTGTCACACAATGCCCCATGACGTCCTCGTTCCTGTTGTGCCCGGTGAGATTTGCACAGGAAATGACGCACTCGCCTGCAGCTCAGCCTGTGGTTCTTTATTTTTGTACATAACATAATGGTGAGATTAATTTAGCTCTGACGAATTATGATTGCCCCGGGAGGTCAGGGTGGCTCCTGGTTGATGGATGGAGCTCTGAGTTTCCCGCCTCTCATTCTTCCCCTCTTCCTGCCCTTTTGTTTGGTCTCCAGCAAGATGTAGCAGCCATGTGGCATTTCCCTGTCTTCTCGTGGTGGACAGTATTGATGTCCTAGCTGACCCAAGACTTCTGGGTGGGCGGGGGCCATCCCAAGGGAAAGAAAGGGCTGTGGTGGTCTTGCCTTTTTTTCTATGCTTGACATTTCCATTGTCCCCTGGGCTAAAGGAATACAAAGAAAGAGGAAGACCTTGCCTCTTTAGATCCATGGCATTGACTGAGCATTTATGAAATGCCAGGCTCAGGGCTCAGAGCGGTGTGCACATTGTGTCACTAGATCAGCACTATTTTTTGCTATTTTGTAACTGGGGTAGTTGAGTTCTGCAAGGATGCATGGCTTACAGAGTTGCGTATGACATGGCTCATCTCCAGGACATCAGAGCCCAGGTTCTTAACCACTGGCCTCAGGGATTCTGAGTCCAGTCACCTTGGCTACAGTCCAACCCTGACCTTCATCTTTAATTCTGATAACTGGGCTCATGGGAACTGTGATGGATGTGCATGGGTCTTGGTCCCAGAAAGTTCAAATTCTATCTTCACCTTCCTGACCCTCTCAAGCCCATCCACACAGGGTGGGCAAAATACAGCTCAAGGGCCAAATCTGACCCATAGCCTGTTTTTGCAAAGTTTTATTGGAACAAAGCTACTTTTATTCAATTGTGTATAGTCTATGGCTGCTTTGAGGAGTAATTGAGATGGACCACATGGGCCCACAGAGTCTACAATATTTACCACCTGACTATTTACAGAAAATGCTTGCTGGACCCTGGGTCTCTGGTGGCTAAAATAGCTTAGAATGCTAATAAACTCATTAGAAACAAAACAATACTGGGAACTAAGGTATGATTCTGCCACGAAACAGGTAAGAGAGCCAGGATAGACATAGGTATGGCACAAAGTAACATCATCCCAAAGCTTCAAATGTTATGCCTATTATCATAATTCCATGTTATGATAACATGGAATTCCATGTTGTCATATGGGGGACTTCAGTCCCCATTGGCAGGCCTCAGTTTGAAGCTTTGGGATGATGTCACTTTGTGACACCTCCTCCCCTCATTGTTCTTGGCCACATGTTTCAGGATTTTAGGATTGCTCTCCACCTGATATCTCTACTTCAGACAAACTAGGCTGCTTCAATTTAGAGCAAGATCTGCTTAGTCTTCTGGCCTCTGTTTTTATTAAACTCCAAAGGACAGGACATAGTTTTATTTTTGTGGAGGTCAGAAGCTATAGGTTTTAAAGAGCTGCCAAAAGAAAAACAACAAACAAACAAACAAACAAACAAAAATAGAGAGCTCTAGGGGGTGTGGTGGATCATTTGGAAGTCTGACCTGAGTATGCTTCAGTGACTTAAAGGAGGGAGAATCACCTTCTGTTGGCCATTTTTATTGGTTTACCCTTTAGGGCCAACTTCCTGTGATTATATGGGCAGCTGGAAAGATAGTGGAGGGGTTCCTGTCCCTCAGCATGGGGGCTTCAGGGGAAGGTTAGAGGGGTGGCAGGTTTGACCTGGAACAATGAGCTTCTGTCCTTCTCTAACTCCACCACTGTGCACCCTAGGAATTCTGGAGTAACCTCTCTGAGCCTCTGACTCCTCATGTCAAGTGGAGTTAGACGTCCTGCCTTCCATACCTCCAGGTGGGAGTGCGGGGTGAAGCAACCAGTGTGTGGGGAGGTGCTGCATGAGTTGCCCCAAGCTTCCAGGGCTAGCTCTTATATTACGCCTTCCTGCTTAGAGTCTCAGGCCATGTGTATCTATGTCATAGCCAGACACATTAAGATGAGATTTTAATGTTTTTTAAATTTAATATTATTTTGTATTAGTTTCAGGTGTACAGCATACTTGTTAGACAATCATATACTTTACAAAGTATTCCCCCTGATATTTCTAGTACCTATCTGGCACTATACAGAGTTACTACAATATTACTGAGTATATTTCATATGTTGTACTTTATATCCCTGTGACTATTTTGTAACTACAGATTTGTACTTCTTACTTCTCTCACCTTTTCCACCCAGATCCTCAAGTCCCCCCGCTCTCTGGCAACCATCAATCTGTTCTCTGAGTCTATGAGCCTGTTTCAATTTTGTTTGTTCACTTATTATGTTCTTTAGGTTCCACATATAAATGAAATCAGCAAATTTAAAGTGATTCTTCTCTAGGGTTTGCCTCATAAAAGTGCGTGGAAAAAAACATGGGCTTTGGAGACCAGTGGACCATGGTTTGAACCCAGCTCCATCATTACTGGATATGTGATCTTGGGCGAGTCATCACCTTACTGAGCCTCAGCCTTCTCATTGGTAGAATAGGGTGGGATTGGACTGTCAGTGTGGGTCATCCAACAAGCAGACACCAAGACAGCATTAGATGTGTTAGAGGTCCTCTGGGGATGCCTATGAAGGGAAAAGGGAGAAGCAGCAGACAGATGCCAGGATGGCTCTCAGACCTTAGTGCAGGTCAGACATGCAAAAGGATATCAGGCAGGATGGAGTGTGAGCAGAAAGAACCTTAGAACACGGTGCAGCTCTGAGGGTCTTGCCCAGGTCTATGGGGATTCCCAGAGCAAAGAGTGCCCATTGTAGGGAGCTATGCAACAAACTGCTTCATATCTCACTGCCTTTAAATGACAGCCATTTTACTATATTTCATAATTTTGCAAGACAAAAATTTGGGCAGGGCTCAATGGGTAATTCTTCTGCTCTGTGTGTAATGGATTAGGGTCTGTCTTAGTTTGGGCTGCTATAACAAAAATATCATAGGCTGGGGAGGTTTAAACAACAGACATTTATTTCTCATAGTTCTGGAGGCTGTGAAGTCCAAGATCAAGGTGCTGGCAAATTTGGTGTCTGCCGAGGACCCATTCCTGCCTTGTAGACAGCTGTCTTCTCATTGTGTGCTCTCATGCCAGAGAAAGAACACCCTGGTCTCTGTCGCTTTTTGTAAGGACACTAAACCCATTCTGGAGGCTCTGCCCTTGTGACCTCATCTACATGTAATCTCCTCCCAGAGGCCCACCACCTAATACAATTCCACTGGGGGTTAGGGTTTCAACATATGATTGGCAGGAGGTTGGGGAAGTGACATAGCCAAACAGCCCACAACAGGTCACCCTGTAGTATTTAGCAGGCAGCTTGGTCTGGCCTGGAGGGTCCAAGATGGCTTTGCTTGTGTGTCTGGTGGCGTGGTGGAGGTGGCTGAAAGGCTGGGTTCTGCTTGGCCCTCTTCATTTAGTCTTGGGGCATCTCCACATGGTCTGTCTAGTGTGATGGTCTGATTTCTTACATGGCAGCTCAGGGATGAAGATGGAATGCCCCGAGAGGCTAGAAGTAGACACTGCAGTCTCTTTATTGCTTCTATTGTGTTCCTTTGGTTGAAGCAGCCTTAAACCCGCCCCAGTTCAAGGGGAGGAGACATAGATCCACCTTTCAATTAGAGAGAGGAGCCTTAAAGAAGTGAGACCATCAGTACTTCAGTATCTCTCTCCAGGGTCATGGAATATGGCGATATTTATAAAGTACCTGTCACAGTGACTGGCACAAAGTAGGTAGCCATCAAGCAGGAGTTACCATTCTCAATGTTTTTTTTTCCATTCTTATTATTACTGCTGCAACTATCACACCCCCATCTCATCCCTTCTCACAGGTGTGTTCTGTCTCCTGAGGGTGCCAGAGTGAGACAGGCTTAGTTAAACTGAAGCTTCTTATAAGGCACCACCCTTCACTTGTCAGCTTCTTGTGAAGTTGCCACAGGCTCACCCTTTCCCCCTCCCTGAGGCTCAGGACTGCCCGTCTTTCTGCAGGCATTGTGGACCTCAGCTTTGAGGCCGAGAGTCCCCTGGCACCTCCAGCTGAGCTCCTGGAGAGGCTTCCCAGCTATGACTGCCTTTTCCAAGGAGGAGGTAAGTCTGCGCGGTCTTGGTTCTTATGGCCTCTTCCTGGGGCTTCTGCTGGTCGGGGGGTCATCTCTGGAATAGGTCAGCACTGGAATAGCTCCCTTTTACTCTGGGAGTCCTGGGACACCCCTCATCACCATTGGGAGGGAACAGGAGGACATGGGGCATAAGCTCTGTGTCCATGAACGTTCCATGATCATGTCCATTTAAGACCAGAGTGATGCTGGTCTGAGAACCACCATTCTTTTTTTCATTTGTTCTTTCTCACATTCAGCCAGACCTTTCTTCTTTTACCTACAGGTTTCTGTTCCTTTGAGCTAGCCCTCAACTCCTCCTTTCTTTTTCAGGACAGCAGATATTCTTCCCGCCTTTGGAGGCTCCACAGAGACCCCAGGAACAAAGGTGCTGGTCCAGGTTCCTGGAACATAGGTGAGCTACAGGTGTGCTTTAGTGACCCTTCCAGAGCCATCACACCGGATCATGCATTGAGATGCTCCCTGTCCCTGTTTTCCCTGAGAACCCTCCTTGGGGATCTCAAGGGTGACATGTCTCAACACTGACAGCTCATCAGGATCCGGACCTCCTGGATCAGATTCTCCAGGGATGGAGGCCAGGAATCTGTATTTTACCATGCTCTGTAGGCTGTTTGGCAACCAAGCCAGAGTTGAAAATCATAGTCAAGATCAGGGGGTTGCAAACTATGGCCCCTGGGCCAAATCCAGCCTGCTGCCTGTTTTTGTAAATTGAGTTTTATTGGAACACAGCCCCTCTCATCTATTTACTCACTGTCTGTGGCTGCTTTCCTGCTACAGCAGCAAAGGAGAGCAGTTGAGACACAGACTAGCGGGCCCACGAAGCCTAAAATACTTACTGTATGGCCCCTTACAGAGAAAGCTAGCTGCTTGCTGGAGAGGCCCATACCCTCCTTGTTTTGTGTTGGGGGAGAGCTCCAACATTACCACTGGCTTTGTGTAGAGAGAAGGAAGACTGCAGCACCTCCCTACCCCCTTCATTTGGAGCTGAGCTTCTGTGGAGAAATATATGAAGATGTGAGGAGGAGGAGGAAGAAGGAGAGGGCTCCTGTGTACTGGAGGGGTTCGGGCATGAGGGCTTCCCTAAGGAGGGGATCTGGTAGGTGGGCCTATCTAAGGAGTTTTCCAGCATGAGTGGAGGGTGTCCAGAGAGAAGGCAGAAGAAGGGGCTGGTGGTCTTCTTTCCTAGTGGCCACCACTCTGGTCCAGCAGGCTCACGGTGAATCACAAGCTATGGGTGCAGCTGTTAGATGGTTCTAGGCTGCTGTCTATGTGCAAAGTTACTCACCGCTCCTCTGGTTGAGGTCAAGTGCCATGAGGGCAGGAGCCTTGTCTAGCTGTGTGATATCTTCTCTGGCTGTCAGTTTTCCTCATTTGTAAAATGGCATAATTCATCTTTAAGGATTTTTTTTGAGATCTAAGATTCTATCAGCCCTTCTCAGATCCATGCTTCTGCTAACACAGTTTTGCTGTCCTCTAGAAAGACCTCCCGCTCTCTCACCATGGGCATCTGTTCACACAGTTCCCTTTGCCAAGATGCCCTCCCTCATGGGACACCTGAGTGCTTTCTCACCACTGTGGGCCAGGTTCCATCTGCACAGTGAGGGGGATCCCTGCCTGGATGAGCCCATGGGCCCTCCCTAGACCCTCTCGCCTCTCTGCTCTGTCCCCAGCAGAATCCCTGTGGTGACAGAGGAGGTGGCGCGGGAAGCCCTCCTCAGCTTCGTGAACTCCAAATGCTGCTATGGCAGCTCAGCCGCCAGCGACTTCATCATCCAGGAGCTGAAGCAGCAGACCCTGTGCAGGGTAAGACAGCTGGCCTGGCGGGCGCTCATGTGATGGGAAACGGGAGGTAGGTATCTGGAGGGCAGTGTGTCTGAATGGTAGTGATGTGTAAGTCCCTTCTGTGACCTCTCTGATCTGCATTCTGAGGGATAATGCAAGGAGGAATTATTATCAATCATCACTGCAAAGCTCAAATGTGCTACGTTTCATGCAAAGCATGCCACATATATCTTATCACATTGTCACAGCTCTTAGCATGGTAGGTGTTATCATCAGTTTGTAGAGGAGGAACTGGGTGTCTAGACAGGTGAATGCACTTACCCAACAATATGCAGCTAGAGCTGGCACCAAAGCCCATGTCCTCAAACACAAGGCTGACTCGCTTCTAGGAGGAGTGGGCTGAGAGGAGTCCATCAACTCCCCTTTATCCCAGCTTCTTCTGCCTCCACCAAGTCACTTCTGTGCCAAGGAATCATTTATTTGTCACTGGGGCCTGATGCTTCAGGGAAATCCTACAGTGAGATCACAGCTGGGATCACAGTCGGCACCTAGGTCACCTTCTGTATTGACAGGGCTATGGGGCAGCATCTGGGTTCATGTTTTCTAGTGGCACTGGCACAGCCATCCTCTGGTGAGCACACAATCACATGGAGATCAGATGAGCCTTGCAAGCTTGATAGGGCAGGGATCTGGGGGAAGAGGTTCCTGTGTAGCTGTGTGGCCTTGGGCAAGTCAACTGACCTCTCTGAGTCTCCATTTCCTCACATGAAGAAGGAGGAGCAGGTGATATCCAAGATACCTTTTTGGTTTGTGATTCTGTGGATGAGGATCAAGGAGGATTTTGCTACCAGGCAGGTCAATTCCTCCACAGGGGGACCCTTGAAGCAGTGGATTCCAGGGGCCTCCATCTGTCAGAAGGTGATTGCTGTTCCAATACTCACCTCTTAGAATGTTTCTATGTATAAAGAAACAGGTAACTGAAATTGCCTCGGTGTGAGCCTGTCAGGGGAGATTTCCTGGGGCTGACTGACCTCCCTGCAGATGTGCCAGTGCATCTGGAACAGAAATCACTGTTGCCAGCCTGTTATAAGCAGCCCCCTGTGCCCTGTGTGGGACTGTTGGGTCTCGGCGCTGAGCCCTGGCGCGTGGGAGCTTCCTCTTTTTGTACAATTCTCTGTCTTCCTCAAGGGCATGAGTGTGAACCGACCATGTTTTCTCTATAGTATCGACTGGAGACTTTCAGCGAATCCAGGATAAGTGAATGGACATTTCAACCCTTTACTAGTAAGTGAATTGTCTGAAATCAGTTTAATTGGGAGTGAACGTGGCAAGGCCAGTCTTAGCCACTACATGGAATGAGATGCTCTTCTTTTCAGAACCTTGGTTTCCCTATCCCCTGTAAAATGAGAGGGTGAGCTTTCATCTCCGACACTTCCCAGTGCTGACTTAGCAACTGCTTCCTGTCCAGAACATGGTTTGCTGAAGGTCCTGAGGAAGTCTTGTGTTTGCCTTTGGCTGCAGGCTGGTGCTGCTTTGGGGCTAGATGGCACAGGCAGTGTGTGTGCTTGGGCAGCTGCCTACCCCCAGGCAACCCCTGGGCCACCATGCACGAGGCACCATGCACCCACCCCCTGCTGAACCCTGCTAAGGCTTCAGCTTCTATCTGGGAAGCCCTACACCCGACCTGTTTTCTCTGCTGACCACTTTGCTTCATCTATTGAGACTCAGCTCACAAGTGACCTCTTTTATGAAGCCTTTCAGAATTTCTTCTCCTGCCACTCCTCCCTCTGACCCTGCCCCAGCAGAACTCTTGTCCAAAGCACTTACCATCATGGTTGTAGCTATATCTGTCTCCTTGAATGGAGGAGGAAGGAGATGGTGGGAATGGAGATGATAGTTCTTCAAAGTACTTGTTTATTGAGTCTTCAGCAGGTGCCAGCCCTGTGCTAAGCATTTATATGCCTTCTTCTATGTAATTTTCACTACCATCCTCTATGGTATGTGCCATTATTATCTCCATTTTAGAGATAGACAATTGCAGGCTGGAGAGGTGAAGTAACTTGTTTGGAGTTACATGACCAGGAAGTAGAAGAACCAGAAGTCAAACCCAAGTATCTTCAATCCAAAAGCTTGGGTGCTTAACTATAAACTCCAAGGGGACTCTTACCTACCCCTCCTTGTAGCCCAGGGTCCAGCCTAATGCCTGGCACTGAGTGAAGGCTCTGTACTATTGGGTGAATAAATGTAAGCTTGTTCTGCAGCTGTTTGCTGTTCTTATAAGGATGTGCTTCTGTGTCAGACCACTTAGTAGATGGGCCACGAAGAGGGACCTCCCCCAGGCTTTGGGACTTCAAGGTCCAGGTCCCCCCGATGTTTCAGGAAGACACCAGGAAGTTCCAGGTTCCTCACTCATCAGTGGTCAAGGTAACAGGGTTATTGTAACACTCCCTTCTGTCTCCTGAAATACTGTCCTTGAGAAAGGAAACTTCAAATCCAGGCTCTTTGCTTATCTCTGTGTTATCTATTCATATAGCAAAATAATGATCCCATTTAGAAAAATTGTCACCAGCTTTAAATAGTGAGCATTCACACTCTTAAACCATCTGAGTGATTATCCTCCCAGCCCCCGTTCTGGCCTGATAGTAAACCACTGAAGTGCCGAATGAAGCATAAAATGACGTGAGAACATTGTTGGGATTTTCCCTGGAAGTCGGTAGGGGAGCAGAATTTAATACCTCTGCTGTTTTACGGAAGCAATCATGCCGTGAAGTGAGGGTGACCTCATGCATGACAAACGCACAGCTGAGCCATGTTATGTTATGTTCTCTTCTAATTCAATAGCAAAACCATTGCCTTACACACAAATGCTGTCCATTTTTATGGCTTCTATTCCCAAAGACCGTTTTAACTATTGAACGGGCAAAGGACACCAGCCTTTGTGGTTTAGCCTAGGAGCATGAGTTAGAATTTGGGACTTGGAGAGCAAGTGGTCCCTACTTAGCATCCAGGACAGACTAGGCTGGGCCTCTGAGGAAATGATGACTTGGTCTCCTGGGCTTGGCATTCAAGGCCCTTTGGAATCATGGTCAAGCAGGAATGACCACCTCCCTCCCTGGCCCTGAATGGCTGCACTGTTATTTGGGATGGTGACACAGGAGTGTGGGTGGGGGCAGAGGTGGTGAAACTGCAGGTGTCTGAGGAACTAGATCCAAAGAAAGCATTTCTCCACCAGGAATGCCACAAATGCCGTGGGCATGGGCGCTACAAGTGCAGTGGCTGCCATGGGGCCGGCATGGTGAGTTATACATGGCTGTTGGTAAGTGTAGCATGGAAGGATGAGCCCCACGGGGACAGCAGAGGGCTGGGCAGGGGCCTGGGGGCTCCCCAAGCTAACAGTGTAACCTCAGGCAAGTCATTCCCCCTTGCTGGGCCTCCATTTTCCCACCTGTAAAATGGGAAAGTTGGATTGGGTGATCTCTACTGGCCTTTTTCATTTTGATAATTTACGATTTTAATTTTTCTCTTATTTTCTCATCTGCATACGAACATTCCCTGAGCACTTGCTTGGCACTAGGCCCAGCAAGAGGACTGAGACCTGGGGTCCTTCCCACCAGGGACCCCTGTATGAGGGGGAGGCTGACAGTGACTAGCACTTGTAGTACAGGGTGATGAGTGTCAAGGAGGTGAAGTCCGTAGGGCTTCCAGAGACAAAATAGATGGGGCTCGTATTGGTTTCTGAAGGCTACCGTAATAAATTACTACAAACTTAGGGGCTTAAAACAACAGAAATTTGCTCTCACAGTCCTGGAGGCTGGAAGTTCAAAATCAGGATGTCAGCAGGTCAGTTCCCCCAGAGGCCCCGAGGCAGAGGCTGTTGTCTGAGCTCTGGCAGCTGCCGGCAGTCCTTGGCTTGTAGCTGTGTCTCCCCCATCTCTGCCTCCAGCCTCACATGGCCATCTCCATGTGTGTGCGTCTCTGTGTGTCCTCGTGGCCTACTTATAAGGACACAGGTCATTGGATTGGGGGCCCACCCTAGTCCAGGATGGCCTCTACTAAGTGCATCTGCATAGACTATTTCCAAATGAGGTCACATTCTGAAGTTCTGTTGAATGTAATTTTCAGTGTGGGGAGAAGGAGGGTCACTATTAGACCCAGACAAGCCCCTAAGCACACAGCCAGCTCTCGTGGCATCAGCCTTCTTTTTAAAGACTTTCAGGGCTACTGGTCCTCCCAGGAGTAGTACCAAGTTCCCATGTGTTCTTAGCTCTCCCCACTTACAACCAGTCCTTTGGACACGTACTGACCACTTGTCACTCTGAGCTGTGTCTTCCTCCATCCTTCCATCGGCCCATCTGCCATTCCTGCCCATTGGCACCCTCCTTCTGCCTGTGGTATGCTCACTCTTCTGCCCACCTGAGCACCCTCTGGAGGCCAGCTGTGGCCCATGCCTGGGCTATCCTGTGCCCTCACTCCTGCCATTTACCTCCTCGTGGTTTTCCCAGAGCACCCCCTGAGGTAATTTCTGTGCCTTCCTCCACCCCTGCTCCTCTTCCTCCCCTGCCTCCTCCCTCAGGCTTCCCCTGGAACATCTCTGGAGCCCACCCCCAGCCAACTGTGGCAGCACTGCCTGAGTCACCCCTGGGGGCCCTTCCAAGATGAGATTTCCATCTGCAACACTAGGTCCCTTGGCCAGCTTGCCCCTCTTACTACTCCCTCTGGCCATAGCTGTTTGGTCAGGGGGCAGTCCCAGGGTTCATGGGAGTCAGCGAGGAGCAGGAGAGGCTGATGTCCCAGGACAAACAGGGGTGTTAGGATGTAGAGTCTTTGAAAGGTACAACTGGGAGGCCCTAAGATACACTACATCTAACCCTCCCATTTTACAGATAAAGGGCTGAAGGCCCAGGGAGAAGAGGCTTGCCTAAAGTCACCAGACTAGGGTTTGAACCAGGTCTTAGGATGCTTCCCTGGGAGGCCAGGGAGCACTGAGGCCATGGTATGTCTACAGGTGAGGTGCCCTTCCTGCAGTGGAGCCAAGCGCAGAGCCAAGCAGCCCCGGAGGTGCCATATGTGCTCGGGTTCTGGCAGGCACAGGTATGGGCAGGTCTCCCTGGCCCTCTTGCTTTCCACTCTCTGCTCTTTTGGAAGGCAACCAGGCACGCTGTCTTCTCAATCCTGTGTCCCCAGAGCTCTGTGCATAGTAGGTGCTTGGTAAATATTTGTGGAGTGGGTGGACTTTTTCTTGAGGCCTGATGTTTCTGGAAAAGACTGGAACTCATCAAGCAATCTATGGGTCAGGTGTACGGAGCAAGGCACTGCAGGAAGGAAGGAAGGGGGCAGTTTAAGGAGAGGAGACTTGTTCCTGCTCAGGTGGAGTAGGAAGTGAATACAGGAAGCCACCCAAAGGTGAGATTCTTAACTCTGAGGATCAGGGCCTGGAAACCCTTATTTTTAATGCAGCACAAGGTGTAAATGAAAGAGTCAAGGAAGACTGGTTGATTGACCAAACAATCAGCAGTTTTGTCTCTGCTCCGGGGCTTTGCAAACAGTCGGGCATTGCATTTTGTAGATCAGTCCTTTAATGTGTTTATAAATCTTTAAAGGGAAACAGGAAGCCGTGAGGCATGCAACTATTCAAAGTGGTGTTGGTTGAAGGGCATCCTTCTAACAAGCCAGATGACAGAGCTTTGGTGGACCTGGACTCTGTGATTGATAAAGAAGGCCTTTGATGTGGAAAGAAACTCAGATTTATTTACAAGTGAAAGAAATCCAATTCAGACTGGCTTCAGCAAAAAAATGTATAGTCTTTTGTACATGTTGTTCCCCAGGAGTATATTTCTGGGGTGGTTTCAGGTACAGCTGGGTCCAGGTGCTTAAACAATGCCATCCGGAATCTGTCTCTGGTCCTCACTATGCTTTCCTTTGCGTCAGTTTTATTCTCAGGCACACTGTCTCTTGTGGCAGAGGGGACCATCAGCAGCTCCAAACTTAGAAACGTCAGTAGAAAAGGATGCCCCATTTTTGAAAGTTCCAACAGAAGTTCTAGGGTGGATCTCATTGCACTTACCTGGGTCATGAGCCCATCTTTGTATGGGCCACTGTGGCCAGAGAGATGGAACGCACTGACTGACCAGGCCTAGATCCCCACTGGCCATAGAGGGGGTGGGCTGTAAGCCCGTGAGCCATAAAGACTGGGTGGGAGAAGGGTGGTCCAAAGGGTAATTGGGGTACTGCCACCAGAAGCAAAAGGTCTAGATGGCAGGAGGGTAGAAGCAATCCATGCCCACCAGTTCCCCTCTGTGAGGGAGGATTTGGGGATGGGGCCCTCCACTGACAGTGTATCCCTCTCAGGTGCAGCACGTGCTCAGGGAGGGGGAACAAGACCTGTGCCACCTGCAAGGGGGAAAAGAAACTGGTGCACTTCGTCCAGCTGGTCATCATGTGGTATGTGGTAGTCCCTCCATGTGGTGGCCCAGCAGTGGTAGCTGGGGGACGTGGCCTGGACTGGTTTCTGCAGAGAAACTCCACTTGGTTGGGGCTTTTGCAGTACAGAGACCTGCTGGGAGAAAAGGGATTAAAACTACTTGGAAAGGGGAGGGATTCCTGGGAAGAGGAGTGTGGGGTGGCGGGATGCTGGCGGGATGCTGGCGGGCTTCAGAACAGACCTGAGTTCACATTCTGACATCACCACTTTCTAGTGCAGCAACCACTCAATGCCTGGGCGTTCCTTTCTGTGTCCCAAATTCCCATGTCAGGGATGGTCCCAGGCCTTAAGGGTTCCTCCCATTGGGCACTTTGCTGGCACTTCACAGGGAAGGATGAACTGAAGTAATGGGACAGAGCTGTCAGTGCTCGGCTAGTTTTCCAGTTTGCAGTTGAACGTGCTGAGGCCCAGAGGGGCTAAAGGACTTTCCCCAGGTTCCACTAGTAGTAACACAAGTCCTGCAGCCTGGGTCTGTCTGATTCCAAACCCATGTTCTTAAGCATCCCTCATCCCTTCCCCTCCAGGAAGAACAGCTTGTTTGAGTTTGTGTCTGAGCACCGGCTGAACTGTCCCACGGAGCTCCTAGCTAAAGCCAAGGGCGAAAACCTCTTTAAGGATGAGAATACGATGGTAAGGAGGGCTTTGCAGAGCCCCACATGGAAGCTAGGTTCCTCTTCTGGCTCTTCTGGCCTTCGGTGGGGGCTGCACTCATTTAGAAAGACAGGCCGGGAGGGGCCAGAGCTGCCGGACAGGACAGAGGCATCTGGGACCCCATGGGGCCAGTCTCCCTTGAATTTCACACACTGGACCCTTCCTCCTTTCCTCCTCTTTCTCCCCACCCCATCCTCCCTCCCTTCTACAAATGTGGAGACCCTCCTCCTGTATTAGGCACCATTCTGGGCACTGGGACAATGCCTAACAAAATCCCCACCTCATAGATCTCACAGTCGGGTGAAGGAGAAGACAACATTTCACCACGATGTCAGATGGCAGCAAGGGTCCAACCAGGGCGAGGAGACAGGAAGGGCTGGGGGTGTTGTTTCAGCTGGGGCTCAGGGAGGTGACGGGGGCAAAGACCTGAACGCAGGGCAGTGGGGGTGTGCATCATGGATTGTGTGGTCTCTGGAGCAAGGCACCCCACAGAGGGAGCGGCAGGGCCGAGCCTTGAAGAACAGTGGAGAGCAGTGGGGCTGGAAGGCAGTGGCCTGGCAGAGCAAGGAGCTGAGATATGAGACGTACCCAGTGGGAGGGACCTGTTGGCCAGGGGTTGGCTAACTTCTGCCCTCGGCCTGCTTTTATAAATCAAGTTTTGTTGGGACATAGCCATGCCTGTTTGTTTATGTATTGTCTGTGGCTGGCTTTGTGCTGTGAGGGCAGAATTGAGTAGTTGACACAGAGACCCTGTGTCCCACAGAGCCTGAAACAGTTACTATGTGGCCCTTTACAAAAAAGATTTGCCAGTCCTGCTGTCTGCCTTGATAGGGAACTTGGCCATTAAGGGTCCTCATGCCGTTTTCTCTGAGAGCGTCAAGTGCTCAGCCTTCCTTCTTTCCTTCTTTCCTTCCTCCCTTCCTTCTTTTTCCTTGCAGTTTGTGACCTCAGATCAGCTTCTTTCACTTTGTAATATGCATTTTAAAAAATTAAGATATGATTGACATATACCAGTGTTAGTTTTAGGTGCATGACACAATGATTTGACATATGTATACACTGTGAGGTGATCACCGCAAGAAGTCTAGTTAACACCATCACCACACTTGGTCACCATACATTGTTATATAATACGTTTTCCTGGTAATGAGAAATTTTAAGAACTATTTTCATAGCAACTTTCCATATAGCATTATTTGTTGTAGTCACCATGTTGTACATTATATCTCTAGGACTCATTTTATCACTGGAAGTTTGTACCTTTTGACCCTGCTTCCATCTCATTTACCCCTCACCCCCAACTCTGGCAACCCTCAACCTGTTCTCTGTATTTAGGAGTTTGGTTGTTCTGTTTGTTTAGATTCCACATACAAGTGAAAACATAGGGTATTTGTCTTTCTCTGTCTGACTTAGTTTACTTAGCATAATATCCTCAAGGCTGAAATGTCAGGTCTTCCTTCCTTTTTTATGGCTGAGTAACGTTTCTCAGCCTGTTATCTTTGCCCCGGTCACTGTGGCTTCCTGAAGGCCGAGGGCAGGTGCCACCCTCTAGGAAGCTCTGCACCCCACCCTGGTCAGGTGGCCTCAGAGGCTTGTTGGGGGACTGAGGGCTGCAGGTGGAGGCCTACTGGGTCTGAAGCCCCCTTTTGGTGGAATTCCCAACAAAATGTGGGTAGTCAAGGGTCTGTGGCACTCAAGCAATCTCCACCCGCTTGCTGCGTGAGACCCTTCCCAACACGGCCTCATTCTCCTGTCTGCCTGAAGTCGATTGCCGAGGCTCCAGGTGCTGGCACTTGGTCAGAGTAGTGAGGTGGTTGCGTCTCTCTCCTCAGGTGTACCCCCTCATCGACTTCCCCCTGCGGGAGATCTCTCTGGCGTCCGAGAGGGGCATTGCCCAGCACAGCGCCACCCTGGCCTCCAGAGCCCGTGTCCTTCAGCAGGTGAGTCAGGTGGGGGCCTGGGGTTGTTGGGAGGTGAGAGCTCCAAAGGCCAAGGGCAATGTCCCTCTGGTCACATGAGGCAGGAAATGGGCTGTTCCCTTTCTTGGGGGTCCTTCCTGAGAAGGGAAGGAAGGGTGAGGAAGAATCAGCCAGAGGTAGGGTGGAGGGAGGAGCCCCAGCCTGAGAAACACAAGGAGTCCTGGGGACTGACCTGAGGCCGGTGTGGCTTGAGGCAGTGAGCAGGGCAGGCCACAGAGTCCATGATGCCAGGTTTTGACTTATCCTGAGAGCAACAAGAAGCTATTGCAGGGTTTCAAGCAGGGATCTGTCTCAGTGTGATTTGGATCAGAAATCCCCTTCCTTGCTCCCTCCCTGGTATTCAGGGAGGAGAAGGGAAATCTAGAGATCCAGGGTCTTGGGCAGAGTGTGAACTCAGCGTCTTGCCCCATAGGACACTTCTAAGCCCCAGGCATGTATTCCCAGAGCCTCCCTTGAGCAGGGGTGGCAGCCAGGACCAGGGTTGCTTTGGTGCTGTATCCTGGTGGCCACTAGGTGGCAGTGGTGCCCGTCTGCGTCCCGGGAGCGGCTTTCGCAGCAGCCGGCTGGAAGCTGCTGGAAGGAGGAGTCTGGACAGGGAATGCCCAGTGCAAACTCTGTGAGGGGGGCCTCAGCTGGGGCCCCGAGTCTTGCAGAGTGGGCTCAGATCCCGGTTCTCCTGCATCCTAACCTGGTCATGTCCACCTGCCTTCTCCTCTTTGAAGTGCAGTTTCTCACCTGTGGAAAAAGAAATGCTAAATTGGCCTCAGGGGGTTTGTAATGATGAGAATTTTTTTTTGATTTTTAAATTTTTTTAAAGATTTTACTTATTATTTTTAGAGAGGGAAGGGAGGGAGAAAGAGAGAGAGAGAGAAACATCAATGTGCGGTTGCAGGCTGTGGCCTGCAACCTAGGCATATGCCCTGACTGGGAATTGAACCTGCGACACTTTGGTTTGCAGCCCGCGCTCAATCCACTGAGCTATGCCAGCCAGGCTGATTTTTAAAATTTTATTAAATTTACCAGAATGACACAGGTTAAGATTATATAGGCTTCAAGTGTACAATTGTTTAATGCATTATCTGTATGCTGCATTTCGTGCTTACCACCCAAAGTCTAGTCCTTCCATCACCATTTATCTCCCCTTTACCGCCCTCAGTCTCCACCCATCCCTTCCCCTCTGAAAATCACCATGCTGTTGTCTATGAGTTTTTGTTTGTTCATTTGTTGCCTTCGGTCTTATATCCTACATATGAGTGAAATCATGTGGTTCTTGACTTTTTCCATCTATTCCTCTTGGCATGATACTCTCAAGATCCATCCATGTTGTTGCAGATGGCAATATTTCTTCTTTTATTATTGCTGAGTAGGATTTCATTTGATATAAGTACCACGTCTTTATCCAATCATCTCTCGAAAACGATGTTGGTTGTTTCTATGTCTTACTGTTAGAATAGCCATTCTAACAGGTGTGAGCTGGTATCTCATGTGGTTTTGATGTGCGTTTCCCTAATAGCTGGTGAAATACAGCGTCTTTCATGGGTCTATTGGCCATTTGTATGTCTGATTGGGAGAAGTAGCTGGTCAGGTCCTCTGACCATTTTTTAATTGGATTTTTTTTGTTATTGATTTGTATAAATTCCTTATATATTTTGGGTGTGTTTGCACATATCTTCTCCCATTTGGTTGGTTGCTTTTTTGTTGTGTTGATGGTTCTTTTTTTTTCTGCTTTTCAGTTTGATATAGTCTAGCTCATTTATTTTGACTTTTACTACCCTTGCTTTTGGGGTTAATTCAGTCTAATTTCATTCTTTTGCATGTGGCTCTCCAGTTTTCCCAGCACAACTTATTGAAGTGGTTTTCTTTTCTCCATTGTATGTTTTTGGCTCCTTTGTTTCAATTCTGTTTATTGGTCTGTGTGTCTGTTCTTCTGCCAATACCATGCTGTTTTGATTGGAGACAATTTTCTTTAAGCACCTGAAACCTGGTGACCAAAGTGTCCCTTTGCAATGAGTATTTCCCCTTCTCTCTTTGCACATCTCCCCTATGTGCAGAAGAGAGAAATATGCACCTAATTTGAATGGATAAATGACCGCCTTGAGCTGGAATGGACCTCAGAAATCATAGCATTGGGGTGCTGCAAGCTCCAAGGCCTACCAGAGCCAGGCGGTGATGTGGATGGGAGAACCCCCTGTCCAAAGGGGCCAGCTACCACAGCTTTGTGTAGGCACAGAGACAAAGACTGTAGACCTTCTAAAGTCCAGATTTTTATATGAAACCTTGTATCTTTTCAATACTGACAACAACATTTTTAAAATGTAAAGAACCCTGCATGTGTCAATGGGCCTGCTGTGCCTGCGGGTCATCACAGGCTGTCCCTGGTCTGGTCCAAACCTATGACTTTTCTGATGGCAGAGGAGGCCTAGGGAGTGAAGTAATCTGCTCAAGGTCACACAGCTTCTTAGTGGATGAGCCCAGGAGTAGAAGCCGAGTTTTCTAACTCCAAGCCAAATGCTATTCACTGTATTCAAGAGACACAAGTGATTCTCTGGAAGTCAGTGTAGGCTCAAAGGGGTATCAGCCAGTGGGGAGACTTGGGGCTGTTTTTACTGGGTCAGTCACTGCAGGGACAATTTACCCACCAGGTCAGGGCCTGCTTGCCAGCTCAGGCCCACACTCATGGCTGTGAGCCCCGTTCTTCTGCTCCGTGGGCCTCAGCATCCCCGTCTATGAAATGAGCAGGGTTAGACCTTGCCTTAGGTTGGGCTCTGCAGAAGCTGGTCCCAGACGAGGGTTGGTGGGCCCATTATTTATAAAGGAAGGGCTCTCAGGACAACCCGTGGAGCTGCAGAGGGAGGAGGGAGAGGCTACACAAGAGCGTGGTACTGGCACTAGCCCAGCCTCTGCCCGATCTCTGGTCTCCAGGGAGCTCTGAGTATCAACCACACCTCAGGGTGCCCTGGAGAAAAGGGGCTGGATCTTCACTCTCCAGCACCATCCAATTGTTGGTGCAGCCTCCCAGGCACTTTCTGCCCTGGGAGGAAGGTGGTTCGTTATCTCAAGGACAGGGCGCAGAAGAGGGAGGTTGAGCTACGAGCGGCAGAGCCTGAAGAGGCAGGGTGGGGAGGGTTTGGGGGTGTGGACTTGAGGGAACCCACGTGGGATGAGAACGGTGTCCATGAAAGGCCCCAGGGCAGTGTCTCAGGAAGCTCACTCTTCAGCACGAGTCTCCTGTGGGGTAGATCACAGCGAAGAGCCCCAGACTGAGGTGTCTTCTCTGGAACTGGGGAGAGAGTAAGGACAGGATTCAGCAGCTTGTGCACAGTAGCATTTATGCAGGTACACTTTTGCCCCTGAGACAGACAATATGAATCCTTTTTGGACCCTTCATTTGGCAGCTGGGGAAACTGAGGCCGGAAGAGGGGAAGTGACTGCCGAGATCTAGAGCCCAGTGGGGACCTAATCTCCTGGGGCTTCCCTGCAGCACAACCCTGTCTCGGGCAACACAGGCCACTGTAGGCCAGCCCAGCAGGGACAGGAAAACAGGGCAGGGGTACATTTCTCTTTAAAAGGGAACACAATGGGAGAAGAGGCCATGTCTGCAAATCTTTTTCCTAAACTGCCCTTTGGTCCCGGATCTTAGACAAAGATTCATGCTGCTATTTTGTTCAGGATTGGGAAGTCAGTGAGTGGAATGCAGTCTAGACATCGGTCCCAGCCTCTCAGACCTGGGGTCAGCTCACCCCAGGGGCTCGTCCCAGGTGTCCAGACAGATGAATGGCCAGTTACAAGATAACCACGTGATGGCAACTGATGTCTGACCCATCTGTGGCCTCAGACTCAGAGACCATTTGAATCCGAAGCAACTGGAGGCGGGCAGTGGTGGGTGGTACTACTGTGCTCTGTTGGATCCGAGTAGAAACATCTGGAAACGAGAGTGGTTCTGACACCGCCGCCCAGGTCCTCCAAGCAGTGATGTGGGCTCCCATCAATTGTTGCCTTGCAGTTCCCATTTTGGGTCCTTTGTACTAAAATGTCAAGAGAGGTTTTCTGCCTTTAATTTCCAAAATGATCACTTGAAGACCAGTTTCTGGCATATGGAGAAAACTTGGTCTCACCCTCTCATTTTGTTGTCTCAACAACTTTCTGACTTAGAAGTTTTATCCCCACTTCACAGGTGAGGAAATTGAGGCCTAGATAAAGGAAGTGTGAGATTCCACAGAAAGCTTCATGGAAAAGGCACACCCTGACTCCGATTCCCCCTCTGCCACAATGTCATGCTACTCCTCTGCTTCCCCCCAGTGCAGTAGGGACCTGCTTCTCAAAATCCCCCCCCACCCCCCGCCGGCGTGTTTTGCCCTTTCCCCAGGGCCCCAGACCATCACCTACAGTGACAGGACTGGCGCTCTTTTCCTATGGAGAGGAATTTCCAGCAACTGAGAGGGTCTGATCCTGGCCAGCCATGCCACCACCCTCTGCACTTGGGGTCACCAAGCCTGAGCCTAGGACAGGGGAACAGCCAGTGCGAAGAACTTAGGGGTCTTGACATAGAGCCTGGCCCATCAGAAGTCCCTGAAAAAGCTTTGCTTCAATGATTAGGGGTGACTTTCCTCTGTGAAATGTGTCTGTCATTGTTAATAACAAAACAGCACCCAAAGCTAATGGGGATGGTCAGTAGGAGGCCAGCGTTCTCTGCCAAGGCAGGGCTGCTGGTTCCGTTCTGGGCCCCTTGATTCTGGGAGGCTGTTGAGTCATTGCTCAGAGAAGGGGTCTGAGAATGAGGGACTCTGGGACTGCTCTGTAGGATGGAGGAGTGTCCCAGGCTCTTAGGCAGAGGTGGGTGCTGGGAGGAGGTTTCGGCATCAGACAGGTCCAGCAAAGGCGAGGGGATGGAGCCTGACATAGATGATCATCCAAACTGGAAATGCCATGAGCCCACTGGCCTCAGTTTCCCCATTTGTAAAAGAAGGAGATTTGAGAAAAACTTTTTACAGGAAAGTTGATGCAACCCCATGGGGTACAGGGAGGGAGGGATCTGAGAAAATAGCCTGAAACAGCCTACTGAACTTTAGAATTTCTTTGGTGTCAATGTTTTATCTTAAAATGTAATTCAAATTGTATAATCCACTCTCTAGTTATAATATGTCCATAGTTGTTATAACATAAAAATGTTTAAAATGACTTTGTCCTCTACCTTTCTCTACCTGCCACCCCATCTCAAAATCAATGTTTCTGGAAAGTGTTCCTTTGGCTGGTGGCTCTCCATAGGTCCCATGACACCTCTGGGGACACCTGTGCCTCCTCTTCCTAAAACTTGGAATCAGATGGTATCTCAGTTTGACCCAGAGCTTGGGGGTATATGCAGGAGTACAGGGGAGATATATACACAAAGGCACAATTGCAGCCAAAATGCCAACTCCAGAGCATGCACTTTGTCCCATGGATAGTAGGGAGCTATGGACAGTTCTTGAGCAAGCGAGTGACTTGAATAGAGCACTGAAGTTTTTCCTGGCCAATTGTTTCCTCAGCGCCAGACCATCGAGCTGGTCCCCCTCACAGAAGTTCGTTACTGGTACGGAGGAAAGACCAATGTCTATTACATCTACGGCACAGACCACAGGGTGTTCGTGGCGGACTATCCTGAGCGGTATTGCTGCGGCTGCACCATTATCTGACACGGCTCGGCGATCCCCTCGGCCTGCCACTCACAGTCAGCAGGGAGGACAACCGAGGTCTCTGGGTTCGCTCATCACTGGCTACACTGGGCAGTCTCTTACCGGCCCTGGCGTGTCTGTCCTTCCAGAGAATTCATCTTACCGTCTGTCAAGCCACAAGTCTTTCAGGAGCTCCTGTGGTGGAATCCATCATGTGTTGAACCTACAAGAAGTCAACTTCACACATTCCTTTAGGACAAAGCATTTAAATGGCAGGGGCAGAAAGCAAAGATTAATACCTCAATTGATCATGTGGTTTGGTTTTGCTTTTCACTGGGTCAGCCTCAGGTCTGGGGGGCCTCTTCTAGTGGGAGCCTTTTGTGCAGCTAAGCATTACTGAAATGTTTAAAGATGCGCATAAATGGGATCCCTTAGTGCACCCCAGATACTGCATGAGGCACCTTTATGTCCTAAAATCTGTGGTCCAGAATTCAGACCCGGCCAGTAGGGGGAGGGTCTGTCTCCACTCCACGATGTCTGGGGCCTCACCTGGAGGGTGTGAAGGCTGGGATGGCTCATGTGCAGGGGGCTGAAGTCACCTGAAGGCTGGTCCGCCCAGAGATCTGGTGTTTGAGGGTGGCTGTTGGCTGGGCCTCCGCTAGGGCCAGGGCACCTCACGTGGCCTCTCTAGGCAGCCTGGGCTTCCTCACACATGGTAGCTATAGGGGTGAGAGCCCCCACACATGCTCCCACTGGAGAAATAGAGATCTGTTCCCAAAGGGGAGAAAAACCTGCTGTGTTGCACGGATGAGGGTCTGCATGCTGATCTCTAACATGGTGCTTCTGTGGGGGAAATTTTGGGAGTGTGATTTTTGGATATATGCAGGTTCTTACATCACATGCCGAACTTAGAACCTGCCTTCTGAGTAGGACGAGTGCACCCAGTCACATGGTGCAGCTCCCACCTGGTGCAGCTAGGCTGAGTGGGTGCCCAGTCGGCTTTGGAAGGGGTGGTGCGGGGGCTGGGCAGGCCCCTGTGCACCTGGCAGTGGGCAAAGGAGTGGCCCCTGTCATTTTACTATGCCTGCCCCCGACCCTCAAGGGGGTGCTGCACCCTGAGAGGGCCAGCCTGTACTCTCACTTAACTCCCAAGTCCTGCCTCCAGCCCTGTCCCTCATGGGTGGGAGGACAAGACCTGGTTGGGGGAGGCCATTCCCCAGGGCATCATCTTCAAATGATATGCAAATGAGCACTTGCATTTGCACATGCCCCTCCCCACCCCTGGTTCCCAGTCTTCTGTTCAGGGTGTTGCTGTTTCCTGCACACTGGGCTTGGGGGCCTGGCTAACAGGTGTTGCAGGGCTCAGAGTGTGTCTGGCTCCCCTGGGGCTGCAGGAAGACCAGGGAAACTTGACTAAGAAGCAAAGGGACTGGACCCCAGAGACTCTGAGATGCCTGAGCCCAGGCTCGGTTGCTGCCCCCAGCCAATGCCACAGGTTCTGCATGCAGGGAGGCCAAGGGCAGGACAAGGTACAGTCTTGGGTTGGGGTGCCCTCTGGATCCTGGGGACAGAGCCTGGTGGTGGCAGAGGACACAGGGATGGTTCACCAAGGCTTACCTCTTCCTCTTCCTCCTGAAGCTCTGTGTGCCCTAGTCTGGAAGGCTTCTGCTCTGGCCAACAAGGGGGGCCACCCTCCCCTTCCCTGGAGTACCCTTGGCCAACCTCCCTCCACAGTTCTCCAAGGGGATGCTTCTGCCCCCAGGGGGCCTTGTGCAAATGGAGGGGACAGGTTTGGAAGTGACAGGTTGGAAATGACGCTGTGGCATTTGGTGGGTGGAGTCCAGGAAAGCTGCTGCCCAGCAATGCCTGGGGGTCAATGAAGTGCCATTCCCCTTCTTACAGGACCTGGGGCTGAAAGCCGACACTCCTGTCAAATGTGTGCAAACCCTCACCAACTACTACATAGCACAGTGCTGACTTACACTCTGGGTTAACCTCCATCCTTGGTTTCCCTCTGTGTCTTGTTTGAAATGGCTTCTGATCCTCTCGTCCACACCTGCGGCTCTCTGACGGCTGCACTGGGGTTCCTTCATGCCGCTCTGCCTGAGCATCCACAGATTGAAATACATGGGTTAAAACATTACTTTCTTCTCATTTGTCCTTTATATTTCACTTTGGGCATTCAACTGCTTCTTTAAAAAAAACCAGTGTGTAAATGATACACTACGTCATTTGGTATAGCACATGCATGCCATTTCAGCATAAAAAGGGATTATGCTAAGCTAGAGGCCCAGTGCGCCAATGAAAAAATCAAGTGGGAATAAAGTGGGCCCAAAGGGACACTGTTCCAGCTGCAGCCCTGTGAGACCCTAGCGACAAGGCCCCTTAGTTCCCATGGCCCTGGCAAAATCCCAGGTGGACCCTGGGTCCTCTGGCCAATTAGTAACTGTTATGTGGTTTTCTCTGCAGCGTTATCCATGTAATGACCTTCACTGCAGGCAGGGTATGACTTAATCTGCTATTTCTGCCTCTCTCTCCTCCTAGGACTGTTCTGGCTGTGACTGTGCAGCTCTAGACCCAGCTGAAGTCATGGTGGGGGGCAGGTAGAGACAGCACACAGGGGCAGCCCTTACCCCAAAACTGGCCACCACGGATTGTGGCTGTGGTCCCAGTTCAATTCTGTTTTGGAAGAACCTCAGGCTCGAGTGGCTCTCTTTTTCTCTATTGCCCTGCCAAGGAGAGCACCAGCCCCATTGTTCAGCAGTCACTGGGTTTCTGTCAGTGGCCAGGGCCATGCTGGGCTTAGCAGGGGTCCCAGTGAGTGCTGATGTCTCTGCCCTGAGACCTCAGGAGAGCCCACCTGAGAGTCAGGCAGATTGGTTATGATGGGACTGCCTACGACCCAAGTCGGTGGTGATGGTTACAAGTGTACATGTGTGATGTGTGCACACTGGTGCATATGCATGTGTGTGCATCATGTGAGTATGGTGTGTGTGTGTACACTGTATGCGTATGTTTATGTGTGCATGGTTTGTGCATGGTGTGCACATGTATATCTGAGTGCCTGTTTGTGCAAGCAGGGGGAGTGTGTGTATGGTACTCTGTGCAGTTGGTGTTTTTCCTGTATTTTGTGTGGAGCAGTAGGGCCCTGGAGCAACTAGATTTGGGGTTCCCTCCCTCTGACCTGGCCCCCAGTGGAGGAGAATGTTGCTACCCATCTTTATGTCTTTAAATCTGGGGCATTTCCTTGCTTTTTTCCCCATCAGCTGACAGAATTGAAGTTTCTAGCTAAAAGAAAGATCTGTCTTGGATATGAGGAGCTAGCTAAACGTTTAAGCCAAAGTCAGTTACTGCCGTTTTAGTGACAATTAGTTTCCATCCCATGATTGGAAAGTCAGGCAGGACTTTAGGGATCTGGGACACAGGGTAGGGACATTCTGTAGGGGACACAGTACAGTGTGGTGCGAAGCCACACAACATGGCTTTCATGTCACAGGCTGGGGTTACATCCTGGTGCAAATGCAACTTGCCCAGAGTCCTCCTGTCAGATGGGCACAATGATGGCTAGGATAGCAAGAGTCTAAATAAATAGTGTGTATGGTGTGCATGGCATGTGAGTGTGCAAGGGTTCTATGCTGTTGGTGGGAGGGGATGCAGGGAGAGGCAAATGTGGGGCGGAAGATATTAGACCCTCAGCATTGGGGGTAGAGGGGAATGTTGTGTCCCCCAAAATTTGTGTCGATAGCCTAACCCCCATTGTGCTGGAATTAGGGGTTGAGGCCAATGGGGGAGGTTGATCATGAGAGCAGAGACCTCATACCTGGGACTGGCGCCCTTGTAAGAGGGTCCCCGGCGAGCCCCCTTGCCGTGTGAGGGTGCAGTGAGAAGGTGGCCGTCTGTGAACCAGGACGTGGGCTTGCACCAGACACCAGATCTGCAGGTGCCTTAATCTTGGACTTCTAGCCTCCAAAACTGAGAGGCAGAAATTTCTCCTGTTTATAAGCCACTCAGTCTGTGGTATTCTGTTATCACAGCCCAAGGAAACTAAGACACAGGGTGTGTAAGCAGAGAATCTGAGGCTGCGTGATACCAGCAGTGGTTTCCAAAAGCCAGTCCAAGTATCAGGACTTGACCGCACCGGCTGCACCTACAAAGCATGCCAGAAATGCAGATTTCCAGGTCCACCCTAGATATGTGGGGTGCATTCTTATGCAGGATCAGAAGTTGAAATTGACATTTGGAGTCACAGTAATTGGGCTTTGGAATCAGAACTCTCAGCCCTAAATTTCAGTTCTTGGCTCCCTGTGGGCTTTCCTTCTCTAAACCTCAGTTTCTCCGTCTGTGCAGTGAGGATAACCCTGGCCCTGGGGAACAGTTCCTGCCCTACCTACCTTGCCAGGGTTGTTTGAAGACTCACATAAGACATGAACTGTGGAAGCGCTTTGCAGACAAAAGCATTGATTAAATATTTTTCTTTTTCTTTTTGGCTTTATTTACTTATTTATAAAGAGAAAATCTGATTTTTTATAGAATTTTTAAAAGATTTTATTTATTTATGTTTAGACAGAGGGGAAGGGAGGGTGAAAGTGATGGAGAGAAACATCAATGTGTGGTTGCCTCTTGCACGCCCCCTACTGGGGACCTGGCTGGCAACCCAGGCATGTGTCCTGACTGGGAATTGAGCCAGTGACCCTTTGGTTTGCAGGCCAGCACTCAATCCACTGAGCCACACCAGCCAGGACTATATATTTATTTAAAAAAATTTTTAAAAGAATTAACACCATCATATTTGTATTAAGATGTAATTTTTAAAAACATTTATTTATTTATTTATTTATTTATTTTTAGAGAGGGAAGGGAGGGAGGAAGGGAGAGAGAGAGAGGGAGAGAAACATCAATGTGGGGTTGCTGGGGGTTATGGCCTGCAACCCAGGCATGTACCCTGGCTGGGAATCGAACCTGTGACACTTGGGTTCGCAGCCCGTGCTCAATCCACTGAGCTACACCAGCCAGGGCAATTTATTTATTTGTTTTACCGTCATTCAAGCACGGTTGTTTCCATTTTCACCCCACCTTGGTCCCCTGCCCTACCCACCCCCCACCTCCCACCTCCCACCTCCCACCCCCTATGGCTTTGTCCATGTGTCCTTTATACATGCCCCTTGATGGACCTTCCCCTATTGCTGTTCCCATCCCCAAACAGCACCCTTCCTGGGTCTTGGTCCATTTCACTATCTTCCTGAGCTTTATTACAATTTTGGTTAACTTCATTCTCTCACACACTACAGAATGCCCACCAAAAATATTTTTCTTTTTAGAAGTGGGAAAGACAACCTGGTTTCCAAGGCTTCCTGCTGCTTTTGACTCTGTCCACCAGAGGGCAGCAGGTGTACGCACATGAAACCTCAGTGTGGCGTCTACTGTACCAGTGAGTTCCTCGGGGTGAGATGGGAACTCTAGGAAGGTCTCATTCTCAGCAGTCCCTAGGCTATGGGGTCCCTTGCAGGAAAATCAGAGTGGCTACAGAAAATTTCCTTAGAGATGCCTATAGTCTGTCTTCTATTATTCAGAGACTCCAGTTAAAACTGTTTTATACTTCCAAGGGGACAACACGGGAAACAAAAATATTTAGGAAGCCAGGTTTGAGATGCCAAAGTAGAAGTAATGGTCTAGGTCAACACATTAGCTGTTGAATCTCTCTCTCTCTCTCTCATTCATTCATTCTAGACATGAACTGAGCCCCTTCCCTGTGCTGGGCACTATCTGGGCTGGGCACTGGGGAAACAGGCGCAAACTTGTCGCTGACCGGCTTTGAGGACTTGCAGTGAGCATTTCTGGAGTACCACCCACGTGCCAGGTGCTGTGCTCAGTTCTTTATGAGTGTCAGCTGACATGACTCCCACTGGGGAGATAT